GCACTTTGGCTTTAAATTGAAATAGACCCCTCCTGCACTTGGAATATTTTTAAACTAGTCCCTACTGCATTGAATCTATGTTGTTTGGTATTCCCCCTCATCCTTGCTAGTTAGAAAATTAGCTTTTATCATGAATATAAAATCTTAATCTATTTTATCTCTCAAAATTATAATATTTTATTAAAAATATTTCTATCAACAGTATATATGTTAAAGGTAAGTTTCTATAAATGGGCAGTTCCTATAGCTAAAGAAAGCATCTTGGAGAATCCAATACTTAGAGCCAGTTTGGTTGCATTGCATACAAGTTATGAATGCAATGTAATGCAATGCAATCTATAATGCATGCAATCTTCATTACCATGTTTTTGTTTGGTATGATATTAAAAGGATGAGAGGCGGCATTAATTTTTTAATTAATTTAACTTATAAATAATTGTGAAAAGGAAAAAATGTAAAGCAAACTTCCTCCCCTCCGCCTCCTCTATCCTATTGCCGATGAATCAGAGTTGCAGCGACAACACAAATTAGGCAAAAATCAAAATTCACAAAAATGAAATCAATAAATTGATGTCTTAGTGGCGTGAAACCAATTACTGTCGTTCAAGTCATAATTATCAAAATCGATAAGCAGCATTGGATGGAACTTGAGATCTAGAACTTGAATACATGAGCTCGTTGTTGGGGGGGGGGGGATCTCCGAATTGCTCAGTGGATGAACCTAAATCATGAAGTAGCGACAAGCAATGAAGCACTAATTAAAATCTATGGAGATAAAAGTGTTTAGGATGGATGGAAGAATCAAAATTCAGTAGATGTTTCGACAATCAATAACATGCCTACTCAAATGAAGAAGACCATTGATGAAAATGAAGAAGGAGCCGACGAAGGAACAAGTGTTGCCAGGCCAGTGGTGGTGAAGAGGTGTCGGCAAAAATAATCCTAGGGCAATTGTTGTCTTTTCATATGGGTTATAAAAGACAAAATTGACATGTTATAATGGATTACAGGTATGCAATGAGTATTCATAAAGGGAGTATAAAACAGGCAAATTTTGTGGCACCATGGAGCGTTGATTTGGTTGCAAATTAAGTGGCTGCTACTAAAAAAAAAGCGCTATATATTAATCCACTGAACAACCTAATTAATCAGCACCTTATAAGATCCATAGTTCTGAGGGTAATGATATACGCCATTATATTTATTAGGGGCTCAAGTTTGGTTTTAAAATATGCAAGCAAATTTGAATTTTGAAGTATAAGGATGTGTTTCAAAATTTATGAATTCAAAGTATAGGGGCCAAAGTTTTAATTTTCGCAATATATGTAGAATTTGGAGTGTGAAAGCGGTTATGTAAATGGCTTTCAGCAAACTCCACTTCCATGCGTGGAAGAATAGAAGACAACTCAATGCGTTGGGAATATAATTAATTAATTGCCCTTACTCGTTCCATACTCGTCTAGTAACAAGTCACACAACCACGTAAGTTTGTGTGTATGCCTGCCTCCTCCTCTTCTTCTTCTTCTTTTTTTTTTTGACATTAGGCACAGATATCATTTTATTAAAAGCAATTATGTCCGATGTACTGTCAGATATTAAATATAGGCACCTCTTTTAATAGGAATTTGAATCTTAGTTCATTACGTTATAAGAGACTAACTCTTTTCACTAAATCTAACCCCTGTTAGTTATATATACCTCTTGTGTATGTCTGTATATACATACAGTATACATATGTGTGTGGGTGGATAGATTCTTGTGCCAAATATCAAAGAAATGATTAAATGTTTTTAAATTAAAAATTTAATTTGGAAGCTACTTCTAAAAATGTGCTTTTCTAACTTTTTTATTTACTTATTTAATATTAAATAAAATTAGTTGAAGAGTGGGAAGGGATTTTATATTCATCCTCTCCGTATATACTTCGTTCTCATGGATTGTTCAGTTGCTCCTCTTGTCCTCTCAAATATTTTTTTAATTAAATATTTATTTTTTTAATTAAAGAGACGGTATTAACAGTCAAAAATTTCAAGCGGATTGAACCTCTGCAACTTTCAAGGAAACTTTAATACCATTAGGCTGCAAAGACAATTGATCTTTTCCTTAGTTTCCCCCCTAGTTTCTCTCTTCATCAATGACTTCTTTCTTTTACCATTGCCCAATCCTTTCCAAATATCCTCTCTTCATACTTTATTTCTTGTTTACATTATTCTCTTTCCACTTCCTCCCACCCACCCACCAATTCGATCCCTCTCCAATTAATTAGTCCTTCTATAATAGAAAGTGTGCTCTCTTCTGCTTTTTGCCTTTTTCACAGTTTCTCCATTACTTCTTTCATCCATCTTAAAGAAAATAAGCCCTAAAACAAATTATTTAAGTATGATTACTACTTATATTCCAAAATTAATATAAATAGAGCATAAAAATGAAAAGAAAAACCAATTTTTTTTATAATAAGAAAAGTTTAAATGAGTTGAATACTGAAAATTTATAGAATCAGAGTATGCCTCTAAGTCAAAATCAACTTGTACATATATATAATATATAAATTGTTGATATTTTCCTGATTTGTGTGTGTTTTTTTAAATATTATGTTATGATTATATTTAAGGACAGATAAAGCAGTTACTTTTTTTGACCAGAGAGATAAAGCAGTTACTTACTTGCTTATCTTTCCATTTTCTATACAATATATCAATCACTCCTCTCCAAACCTGTCTCTCGAAGTGTATTCTTAGCCCCATCCTCCATGGCCTGTGATTCATTGCTTTTCCTGTGTTGGAAAGCAAGCATATAATAATAATAATAATAATAATAATAATAATAATAATAATAATAATAATAATAATAATATATTGGATGATTCACCTCCTCTTTTAATTTTCTAGGAATAAAAAATATTTTTAATTTATTTAATGTATATATTATTGACAAAAATTATAATTAAAAAACGAGATCCATTGTGCGTACAATCAACACATAAATTCGAATATATACAAGATACAATATGTTAGGAAGATGAAAAACAACTTAGATTGTCAATTTTAAACTAACACTTTGAGATTAAATTCAGAGAAAGCATACCGTACTTGTTGCCTATGCCCTATACTATGCATTGGCATAGGGAAAACGGTATAAAATAATACCATACCACAATCGAATAATGGTAGACATTGATATTGCCGGAGGTTTCCATTTTTCTTTGAAAAAATTCCATAAAAAGATACTTAAATAATCTAAATTTTTATTTGACATCATATATATGACTCAGAGAGATTTTAAAATTTCATGAAATATCTCTAATACCCTTTTCATTAAAAACCAAAAGGGAATTATAAATTAATATATTCTATTTTATAGGTAACACGTTTTAATTCTAGATTAACGATTTTAGGCCTCCATGTCACATCTGTAACAAGCATTTGAATAAAACTTAATTACAATACAATTTTAAAAATTAATAAATTTAATTATGCAGTTAACAAGTTACAGTTCTAAACTAACAGCTTTATGTCTCTCAAACATACTTGCAATGAGTCTTTAAATAAAAATTGATCATAATATAACTTTAAAAATTAGCGTGCTTTATTTTAAAATTAATATATTTCAATTCTAAATTCACCACTTTCTATCTCCATAACATTTGCAACAAGTTTCATTAAAATTTGCTCACAATACAACCTTAAAAATTAACATATTCCATTTCATAGTTAGCATGTTATAATTTTAAATTAATAACTTCTTGTTTTCAAAACACACTTACAATAAGTCTCTAAATAAAATTTTATTACAACATAACCTTAAAAATTAACAGATTTCATTTTGCAGCTAACAGATTTTAATTTTGAATTAACAGCTTTTTCTATCTCTATAACACACTTGGAGGACTAAGGGAGGAATATTTAATATAGCATATATGCTATATGGGCATGATTAAAAAAAATCATCATCTCTCTAGGTTTCCAGTAAAAGGGGTACTTTAATCATTTCATAAAAAAATTTCTCCTTGGGTCATGTCACCTGATTAAGGTATTGACAAATTCAATAACCCAAATAAAAAATTGGTTTATTTAAGTGTCTTTGTAAGAGATTTTTTTTTTCTTTTTCTTTTAATTAATACCAATCTCGATTTAAACATGCATGAATAAAAAATAAGCATTTTTATTTTATTGGAATCAACCTTAAGAGGTGTTTAGATAAAAACCAAATTATAATTTTAGAAGTAATTTTACAATATACAAAATAAATACATGGAAGAGTTTGTTTCAATTCATAAAAAGTGCTCTTGAAAAGTACTATTGGACACATCCAAACACCTTTTAATCTGGAGTACTTGCGTGATACAGAATAATCTCTTCAAAACATAAAAAACTGGAAAACCAAACTAATTATTTATTATTTATCATAAAAATAAATAAACAATAATCACATCAATGCATAATTAAGTTCCGACACACAAATTAAACAATAAAAACCAACATATATATATATTTTTTTAAATCACGCATAATTAAAATGTGTGTGTTATCGTTGTTTAATTTGGATTTCTGTTTTGGGTAGAAAATCCGATATAAGCACATTGTTCATGCCGTATATATCTGTCTTTGCCAAATTCAATGGATTAGAACATAACAGACACTTGATCAGATGAAACTGGACAAATCACAATACAACTACATGATCAAACTTATAAACTACATCTTACAAACATTCCATCATGGGTTAGAACATATATAACAGAGACTTGATCAGATGAAACTGGAGTAATTACAACGCAACAACTTGCATAATGATCAAACTAAATAACACCCACACATGGTTGATTATTGTTAATTTGAAAGACACAACCAGCAACAAGCTATATATGGTTGAGCCCCCCCCCCCCCAAAAAAAAAAAAACCAGCAACAGGTTATCACCTTCTATGACCAAGATTAGAAACGCAACATTTAAAAAAATGAATGAAGATGGGATTAAATTACATTAATTTCTTCATCAGTAGCTAGATAGCTAGGGCTTCTGCATTGAGATGAAGATGGAGAGCATCCTGTAAACCAGACATGACGTATCTCATTGTTGGCCTGATGATCCTTTTCCCTTCCAAACACATCTTAGCCACTTCCCAAACCTTCTTCACAGATTCATGTTTCGCGTCACCAATTAGACTCGCGTCTATTATCTCTTCCAGTGATGATTCATCGTCTTCAACCTTTGTCAGAGCCCAGTTTGCCAGATTCTTTGCTTCGTCAGGCAGGGCACGATTCAGAGCAGGCCTCCCGCATAGAACTTCCAAAAGCACCATCCCAAATGAGTACACATCTGATTTCTCTGTCAAACGCTGCGTTCTGAAGTACTCAGGATCTAAGTAACCGAAGCTTCCCTTCACAACAGTGCTCACATGGGACTTATCTGAAGATGGGCCCCTCCGTGAGATCCCAAAGTCTGAAACTTTGGCCACCAAATTCTCATCCAAAAGAATATTAGCTGCCTTCACGTCCCTGTGTATTATGCTTTCACAACCACCTAAACCTGTGTGAAGATAATGAAGCCCAGCGGCTGCTCCTATGCAGATTTCAAGCCTTTGCTTCCACGAGAGAGGGACGACGGCTTTTTTCCCGTAGAGATGGCCGTCGAGAGATCCGTTTGCCATGTAGGCATAAACCAGGACCATTTGGTTATACTCGCAGCAGTATCCGAGAAGAGAGACTAGATTTTGGTGACGAAGTTTCGATAAGAATTTGATCTCATTCTGGAACTCGGCAATGCCTTGATTGGACTGAGGATTTGCTTTCTTGATCGCAATCATCGTACCGTCTTTGAGCTGTCCCATGAACACCTTCCCAAATCCACCATTGCCGACATGATAGTTCTCATCGAAATTTTTGGTTGCTTCTTGAATCTCCTCGAATGTGAATATTCTGAGTCTTCCTTCGCTGTTTGACCAAGTTCTGTTGGACTTGCCAGCTCTTATGCGACCATAAAAGTAATAGATAACACATGCGGACAAACACAGAGCAGCCATGCCACAGCTCGAAATGATTAATGCTAATTTTGGAATTTTCTGATCTGATTTTGCAAATATATTGTCAACTGAGGAAAGCCCATCCAAGCTTCTTACCTCGTTGCTCATTTTCAGAATCTCTAGCCCGTTCGAGATAGCATTAAGGCCCTGCTCAGGGCCACCAGTTTCCACAGTCACGCTCAATTTGTCTGAAGCTTCTTCAGAAATATTATTGTTGACATAGTCGATGACGTATGGAACACCAACATCATAGGTGAAGGCTGATAGACTCAGATTTTTCATCAGAACCTCAGAGTTTACGTACACATTGAAAAACAAGCTGTTCCTGGACTTGCTAATTATATCGCAGAAATGCATCCTCAGAATGTATTTGAACTTTGGATTGACTGGAAAGACCCATGTCAAATTGGACTTGCTCGAAATATTTGTCAAGGCTTTTGCGGTGGCATAAACATCTGCAGGTGCTACCTCGGAAGACCCGAAGTCGTTGGATGAAGACTTTATGGAGAATGGGTTCACCGACATATTTGAGGCTAAAGGGTTAGGCTGAAGATACTTATCGTCTTCTTCCCAAACTCTGAAAAGAGTGCTGTTTTGTGAAGGGACTACAGAGTGGCCTCCCATGTTCAAGCGATACATGGTTTCAAGAGCAGCATCTTTCAATTTTGGAATATATAAGGTCTGATCAAAAGAGAATATCTTATCTGGGACAGGAAACAACCTCAATGGCATTCACAAATGCAACATCGGACTCTCTAGAAGGGACAAAAGTTAGGGTTAAAATATCAGTATTGACATCAATCACGAACTCCTTGAACATGTAAGCACTATTGTGTTTGGAAGTGTTAAAGCAAAAGTGATCAAGGAGGGCATAGCTTCCAGTGACAACACTGAACGAGACTGAAGCTAATATTTTGGAAAGAGGATGAAAGTAGAGTCGGATGAAATGCCAGCCTTTGTGGGCGATATCGAAGTTGTAAGAAGCTAAGGTTGTGAAGGTTCTAGCAGATTGGTAAATCGGGGAGAAAGTTCTAGAAGAATTAACAATATCAGAATGTTCAGAATCAAAGGTAACAGAGGGTTGCTGAGAATCAGCAACAAAGGTACGATGAAGATGAGTAATGTCATTAGAAGAACCGCAAGCAATGAAGTAACTATCAGGAGGAGTATTTGTGGATGTAGAGCAGGATGAATGAATTATGAACAGAAGAAGAATGAGAGAGTAATCAAACTCGAGGTTCCTCATCTTCGATGGATCAATCATACCATTTCGTTAACTTATAATAGAGGACATTATTCCAACGTCGTACGATGATGGGTTAATTTAGTCGTCACATAATTTCTTACCTCCTTCCAGATGTCTACGTTTAGTCTATTAGTCGAATCCCTGTCCAGCTAAGTTCGTTCTGGTTTGAAAAGGGTTTAAGTTCGGTATAATTGTCATAAGTCTAGAAAACAAGATTGGATATCTGGAGAAAAGCATGGGTGGTCGTTTCGAAGTGAAAGCAATGGAATGTTAAAAAAACCCAACAAAAGTATATCTACCCCCATTTTATATTCTTGCTTCAGCAAAACCAAAACCGACCAAAAGAGGCGTGAAAGTGCCAAGAAATTTATTAAGAAGGGAAAGGAAACACAAGTTAAAACAAATTATTATATCTCAAGAAGTCCGGAACAGGGGTCCGGTGATTGAATTAGCAATAACACATCTTTGATTACTATATTTTAAATTTTTAATGATTTTCTTGGCTAGGTTTATGTTTCCGTGTTGACTGAGTCATTATAATCAAATATGTTTATCATTACTCTGCGGGAATTAGATAAAGCGCATTTTTATGCTCATTATGTTTGGATATGGAAAATTAAATTAATTCATTATTATCTTTAAAGTATACACAAGCATATCATTTTATCATTAAAAAAGTTATATTTTTTTGTTAGCAAAAATGTTATATATTAGTTTAGAATTTTGATATAAAAATACCATATATATTTGGAGATCATTTTGCCGTTCCTATATTAATTAATCAAACTAATTAAGCCCTAATCCGTCTTGATGCTTCGTATTAGCAGATATGTAAATTAAGGCTTTTTTCAGAGACCGTTGGTGTTTCCTGTCAGGAGACCAGTGACCTTTGTTGTCCGGTTATCTTTGTGTTTTTAACTTTTTTTCCAAACAAAATCATTTTTATTAACTATTAAAAGTTAAAACACAATATTAGGAGAAAAAAAACTCATAAAACCCGTAAAACTATTTTTTATTAGACCTGATAACAATTGAATCTGAGTTAGTAATTCTTTTTTTGAGAAACAGAATTACACAAAAAGCAAATAAAATCAGTACAAATAAAAACAAGAGAAAAAGCGCAGGCAACACCTTATCACTATTCACCATACAGCCTTCAAGGTCAAAGTGAAAAGTTAAAAATTAAGTCTCTCTTTATCATTTAACTTTTATTTCTTTTATTTTAGGGTTAAGGTGCATCCAGCACCCTGAAATATTTTCTTAGGTGCATCCAGTACCCTAAAGTATTTTATGGTGCATCCAGCCACCCTGAAGTATTTTCTTAGATGCATCCAACACCCTGAAGTATTTTGTGATGCATCTAGCATCTCAAAGTATTATTTTTTAGGTGTGTCCAACATCTAAAAATATTTTTTCGTACATCCACCACCAAGACAAAAAAAAATACTTCAAGGTGCTAGATGCATCATAAAATACTTTAGGGTGCTAGATGCACCCCACAAAATACTTCAGGGTGTTGGATGCACCTTAACCCTTTATTTTATCTTTTTCTTGAATTTTTAAATTTGGTACTTACAATTTTTTCCTGAAAAAAAGTCATTGAAGTCATCAAGCGCGAGATTTCGCTTCTCATAATTGGAAACAAAATGCTGCCTTTTGATTGAAAACAATGGATTAGATCTCATTTTACTTATAATTAAATATGTGTTGGTTTTCTTAAAATATCCTTTTCAATTATTTGGATTAAATCACCCTTTGATGCCACTTCATTTAACAAATGCAATTAATACAATTAGTTTGATTGAATAAAAAGAACAAAATTGATTAGAATCTTATATTTTGAATCATATTTAATTCATTGCTAATTTTTATATTAAGAACCACAAGTACTATAAATATAATAGTCAGTGTACTTAATGTCACATGAATATTTTTTGGGAAAATTAGAGGGATCCAGTGGCAAGAATATTTTTTAGGAAAGATCTTAAAAATTATATTTATTTAGAAGGCCAAATACTAAAATATAAATTTAAAATTACCAATTTCCCCTTAACAAAATCCTATATGTTATCTCTCACCACATCCTATAATTTTCTTTTTTTAACAAAATAATTAAAGCTTATTCAAATTAATTCAAACTAATTGGAAGTTACAAAGTTACAAAACAATTCTAACTAATTAAATTCAATTCAATTAATAAGTAACACTAATTAATTTATTCTTTCATCATCTTTTAAAAAAATAAAACTCTTTTTTTTGGGCTTCCTGAATAATGAGCCGATCAAAATTATATAGTTAAATTAAAAAATAAAAAAGTGATATAATAATAAATAATATATAACTTATCCATAATTAACAAGAATAAAGAATACCATCTAGATTTAAGTTTGAATTTTGGGAGAATGACAGAAAAAGAAGCTGAAAATTACAAATGCCAAATCATGTTTGATAACACAATTTTATTTGGTATTAACAAGTCTGAATTTGCAAATGACAACAAATTTTGTTGATATTCCTTGTTTGGCATTTGCAAAATTTTAGCTTCTCTTTTTTGTCATTGTCCCTTAAATTTTCTTACTCAAACTATTATGACTACTTTTATTATGACAAATATTTCTTGATATAATGAATTTCTTATGTCACTTTTTATTTTAAATTTTAAATTTTATTAAGTAAGAGGATTCAACTTATTAAATAAAATAACAGTATGAAACAGATAAGTAAAAGGAAAAATTAATCTGGAAATTCTTATAGTTTTGCTCCATTTTAAAGTAGGTCCCTAAGCTTTTTTTTTGCTTCTATTTATTGAGTCCTTCAACTTTCTACCGTTAGTGTTGTTAGTCCTTGAAGTTAAAAGCTGATAATCCTTGATTAACAGCGTCAAAACGTTTCTGTCAGAACAAACTTTTCTCCCTGGGTCTGTTCACCATCTTCTCCTTCCTCACTAATAAATGGCTCACCGTCTCTTCTTAAGCCGATGTTGTGATCAGCGTAGAGGATATGTGAGGCATAAAAAGCAGCAGGGATATGATTCGAGCTCGCTATATGTCACTTTTGTTTGTATAGACAATGTTCCCAAGGCAGACTCATACACAGAAAATATAAGAAAATGAGGAACAATGCCTACAGACGAGGGGCATCCTCCATCATGTAGCTGTCGTTTATATATCTATGCATAATATGTATATTAAGAGGACCTCCCCTGTTTTAGTAATACAAAAACAGAGCTATATTGCAAACACGATAGAAACACCAAAAAAACAAGTGCATTAGAGATGTTTGTGTTTAAGAAATTTCCCATTATTTTATTTATCGATCTTGCATGATCTGTTGCTTCAACCTACGGAGTTATTTCATTGTATATATGACTTAAGTTTGTAGTCTTTGATACCCACGCAACAGTGCCATGCAATGAAGATGTATGTATAAAAAATTTCTCTCATCATTTTATTTAATAGAACTTGCATAACCCGTTGCTTCAAGAAACTGCATGTTATTTCATCATGGTATGCAAGAAGCCACATACTTCGAACTTAATTTGAGATTATAAATCAAGTGAAGTAACTATTAGTGTTATACTCTCCGGTCCTTATTATAGACCCAATTTGACTTTTTATTTGGTCCTAATTATAGACCCAATCCATTTTCTCTCTTATATTATGCATTTTTTCCAAGATAATCCTTCTAATAATGATAGTTTTAGCCAATACTTAATTAGCAAGGATATTTAGGAATAACAACACTTATTTATTATAAATAACCAACTTAACTTACTTCCTTAATCTCCTCAAATAAGTCAATTGGGTCTTATAATTAGGACCGGAGGAGTATTAAATATTAAATACCAGTGCTTCGGTTAGCATGAAAAAAACCAGTACTTTAATTTGCATTCAACTTCATGAACGGGCTTCAAAGGAACTTATTGCAGTACTCTCTCTTTCTCACATTCTTCCTCGGCCTGCTACTTTGGTGTGCAATTCACAATCACATTTGGACACCATGGTAACCTCCATTGCAAGTGACTAGTGGTTCCAGTAATTACAATCCTTGTTTGAAAAAGTAATAGAGGTGTAGTCGAAAAGTCGAGCTCATGGATGGCATGTATGTTGGGGCAGGAACAGTGAGCCATTTATTAGTGAGGAAGGAGAAGACATTGAACAAGCCCAGAGGGAAAAAGCTCATTTTGATAAGAATGTTTAACTCCGTTAACGATTTTTAATTTCAAGGATGGATGGTGCTAACGGTAAAAAGTTGAAGGATCTCATAAAAAAGGAAAAACCTTCAGGGACCTAATTCAAAATCAAGCCAAACTATGAGGATTTCCAGATTAATTTTCCTTAAGTAAAAATATGGAATAACTTTTTTTGAATGGCAGAACTTTAATGCCCTGCTCATTTTTAAAAAGCTTATAGAAAGTTATTAATTAAAAACAATGAAAAAATAAATTAATTAATTAGAATCAATGTCTGACTTTGAAATTTAAATTAGTTTGAATTAATTCAAATAGATTGTAATTATTCTGCTAAATGAGACGAAAATTAGATGAGGTAATGAGAAAATATAGGGATTATGGTGTAAATAGGGGTAATTTCAGTCTTTTTAAGTTTATATTTTAATATCTGGTCCTTTTAAATAATTATGGCTTTTAAGATTCTTTCTAATAAATATCATTTCCACCGGATCCCTTTCTCTAATTTTCCCATTTTTTTCACTTGAAATTATGAATATTTTCTTATAAACGGGAGGTTGGTGGGTTCCATCCCTTTTATAACCTCGGTTGCAAGTGCCTACCTTTTTAATTAAAAAAAATAATAATATCATTTTTTTAAGCAAAGAAGAAATTCATTTCATAAAATCATTCAAAGACAGTGAAAGCAGGATCAAAATTAGCCTACATCAATATGAGAATTACAAAATCAGTTTCTATAGGTTGACGCAAGGCAGGAAGCAGTCTCGTCAGCCTATTAGACGGGGCACGACCCATTCAAAGAAGCTTTGGC